CACATATTTTTTATTTACAAAAAAATAAGAAGTGAAATATATTTCAACTAAAAAGTTAGTATCTACATATTTTTACTCTAAATATTTTTGCTAAATGTATTTAAAAAGTATAAAAATATAAACATACGTTATAAAAAAACTATAATATTATATGTATATATAAGTAATATACGGATCAGATCGGACATTCAGATTTTTAGAATTAGTATTTGTGATTTGTTTCACTTTAGACGGATATTAAATTTTACTATTTACTTCGCTTTGATTCATAAAGGAAATCCGAATTTTTTGGATCGAATCAAACCGAATACTAAATCAGAACGTATCTAATGGATAATTTGTCCATCTCTACGTTTCTCATCTATCTATTATAATTCAAATAGGCAAATACAGAACACATATAAAAACATTTGTGATAGTGTAGTCGCTACGTCATTAATTATGTATGTTACTGGAAAAAAAACATTTAGGTGCATGCATATATATGTAATGTTGTCGTCTTCTTCAACAACTAACTGTCTAACTCCATCAATTTCAGTTCTTATAGTCAAATTAACAAAGTTCCACCAATGAAGACACAAATACTTACCTTCATTTTTCTCCTACAAATTGCTTTCACTATTAGCCTCCATTTCCACCCACTCGATCCCTTAACTCCCCAAGAAATCAACAAAACAAGCTCCATCATCAAGAAATCTCATTTAGGCAATCTCAAAGATCTCACATTTCACTACCTCGATCTCGAAGAACCAAACAAAAGCCACGTCCTCCAATGGCTACACTCCAAATCCACCAAGAAACCACCACCACGTCGTCGCTCACTCGTTGTAGTTCGAGCCGGTGGTCAAACCCACGAGCTAATCATCGACCTAACAACTAACAAAATCGCATCCTCACGAATCTACACCGGTCATGGCTTCCCTCCATTCACATTCATAGAGCTATTCAAAGCAAGCAAGCTTCCTCTAACTTACCCTTCCTTCGCAAAATCGATTCTTGATCGATCCTTAAACATCTCCGAGGTTTCTTGCATACCTTTCACAGTTGGTTGGTACGGAGAAACCACCACGAGACGTGAACTCAAAGCTTCTTGCTTTTACAGAGATGGATCGATCAACGTTTTCACAAGACCCATCGAAGGAATCACAATAACTATAGACGTTGACTCAATGAAAGTCGTCAAATACTCAGACAGATTCCGTAAGCCTCTCCCTGATTCAAAAGGTAACGACTTTCGAACCAAACACAAACCTTCCTCATTCTCTTGCAACGTCTCCGACACAAGCTTCAAGATTCTCGGCAAGAAAATAATCAAATGGGAAAACTGGAAATTCCACGTCGGATTTAACGCAAGAGCAGGAATCATCATATCGACGGCTTCGGTTCTTGATCCAAGAACCAAAAGATTCAGAAGAGTGATGTACAGAGGACACGTGTCAGAGACTTTTGTTCCGTACATGGACCCAACTTACGAATGGTACTTTCGTACGTTCATGGACATCGGAGAGTTTGGTTTCGGGAAATCAGCGGTTAATCTTCAGCCACTCATCGACTGTCCTCAAAACGCTGCGTTTTTGGATGGACACGTGGCGGGACCAGATGGGACAGCTCAGAGGATGAGTAATGTGATGTGTGTGTTTGAGAAAAATGGTTTTGGTGCTTCTTTTAGACACACTGAGATTAATGTTCCAGGACAAGTGGTAAACTCTATGAATAATCCAGCTCTCTAATCTKA